TTTTTAAGTACAAATTGAAAGTGTCTGTAGAAGTAATTTTTTAAAATATCCTTTTTCATGATAAAGTTTTAATACTTATTACTATAATCTAGACTTGTTAATCACAAATAGATTATATATACTTGTGGCCCAAAACGCCATGACTTCTTCCAATGTGGCCCAGAGGAACAAAAAGGTTGGACAACACTGCTCTAGACAAAGGGCTAGAAGTGACTGTTGCCAGAATCAAGCAGCCGTAGTTGTTTTATTCTCTCTCTTTTTTACATACTCTAGAAAAGTATCCTCTCTTTCCACAACTGTTATAATTTTCACCTGTTGTGAAGGTGATTCATATAACCACAATATGGATACTTCCATTCAGTGGTAGCTAACATGAGCAGGGACAAAGTAATATCTCCGAGATTGTTTAGATCATCTTCTGCAGGTTCTTTTTGAGTGGAAATCCTAATTGTCTCCAATACTAGTATGGTAAATACTAAAGTTTCCAACTAGGTACAAGCAGATTTTAAAGTATGGGCACACAACAAAGCTTCCTTGAGTTTTAGGGTATGACCTTCTAAAAGTCGTCATCAAATCTGAGGGGATAATAGCATAGTGATAAAAGCATCACATACATATTCACTTTTATACTTTTTGGCAGAAACAGAAATGAAGCTGCAGTCCATACTTAATGCCTGAAGTTCTGACAGTATTGGTCAATAGACTCACCAGGTTGTTGGTGACAATTAATAAGACAACAGTGAGCAAAAATTTCATTTACAGGCTTACCATTAAGACTTAGACTGGTCTATATGTGGTCTTCAAATCCACAGCACTCTGATATATAGGAGTAGACTCAGACCAACAAAATTAACAAGAAGGCTAAATTTCCTTACATTGTCCATTTCCATTGATGATATGAAATTCTTGAAGATTTGATACCAATGAGACCATTGTTGAGAAGTGCCACTAATGTTCGGGTCAATATTAAAGCATTTGGGTTTAAGTAAACCATCCATCTTACAATAAATTTTAGACATAAATAAATTGTCATATATAGAGATGTTATTTTAACAAAGGCTTTATTCGTGTCTTCTTGGCCAGTGTACAAGAATATGGTGTCTGCCAGTTCAAACATCACAATTACAACTGAATATGGCAGGGAAGTGTTGCCACATTACCACAAGTTCCATCTCAAGTTTCTGCTTCGCTTATAAATTCTCTTTGTAAATGTAATTATAAATAACAGAAATGGAAGGAAAGTACAATGTTATCTTCTAATGATAACAGATATGCATTTTTAGAAGATATGTGGATTATGTAAAGATTTTATTTTTGTTCTAGAAATTTTATGGAAGGTTTATACCAGAAATAATGATAAAAGCCACAAATTACAGTTTGTATTTGTACTAAATTCACAATATTGCTAATGTCATGGAATGTGATACAGCATATTATATTGTGGCTGTCCACCATGTTTGTTTTGTATAATTGTATATAGCAGTGGTTGGCAACCTGTGGTCCATGGACCATTGATGGTCCACGAGAAAATTTGGACAATGATCAACTCAATATTACGCAAAGTATTACGAAAAAAATGTAAAATGCTTAGTTGCTTTTTTTTCACTCATTGGGGTTTTTTACTTGAATCTAAATCCAAATACAAAGTGACTGTTATCAATAAATCATGAACAATAAACAATATTGTGAGTGTGATTGTCGTCCTTTGTGGAAAAGTGCTAAGAAGCAATAAACTTATTTCAAACAAGCAGCAACAAACTTTAGGCTTGTATTAATTTGTTATAATTAAACAAGCACATTTCATATTATTATAGTAAAATTCATGATAGTGGTCTATGGGATTCAAAATTGTGAATTGTGGTCTGTGAGGTCCGAAAAATTGCAGACCACTGGTATATAGAATAAGAACTCCTTTCTTCTTTCCTGTAACTCTTCTTCCTTCTGTCTTTAACCCTTTCCTGTCACATGACAGGAGCTTTACTGTTCGTGGGTCCTGATTAGCCAGTGTACAAAGGGAAAGGAAGGGGTCCTGCCCAAAGGGGATCTGGGGAAACCAGGAATTGACGAGAGTCACTTTGGGTTCTCCACCGATGAGAAAGAAGGTCAGGTGAGAGAGACTGAGTTACTAGCTATGAGGAGTCAGATCTAGGAAGATAGAAGGAGAGAGAGGGTCAGTATAAACCATGTGTGAACGGTGACTTGGAACTAAGTAAGCAAACCTTTCCGTACAAGCTCAAGGACTGCCTTGGAGCACATTTAATGGTAACTGATTGTTATTACCCTGGACGTGAATGGAATGGATGTTCATTGTCCATGAAGCGACCATAGTCAACATTACTCCAGTATCAGGATCCCCCATCTAAGCTACCAGTAGACTATCCAACATTCTTCATCCTTTCTTTTCTCTTTCTAGTTGTAAGTAGTAATAATATTAGGTTTAAGTTGAATTGTAATTGTCTTAGTTTTAAGCAGAATTGTATATAAATTAATTGTGGTGCAAAGTTCAAGTGAGGACATAGTACATATATTCCACTAAGAAATTTAGTTTGGTTTCGTTCTTGCAAATCTTCAAAACTAATTTTCTATAATATCTGGTCGGCATTGCCATCAATCATTATATCTCTAACTGCATTATTATCAATTAATAAACTCCACCATACCTTTCAAATGCAGTCTAACTTGCGCAATTGAATCTGAGAAGATTGTAGAGCGTGCATTTTGGAATTACCGTTTGGCAAATTTAAATTCTGTACATCGATTCTGAAGAAGGTCTGTTAATTTGACTGAAAACATTCGATAAGTGTTTAAAATAGACTGCATTTTAAAGGTATGGTGGAGTTTATTAATTGATAAGAATGTAGTTAGAGATATAATGATTGATGGCAATGCCGGCCAGATAATACATACATACATACATATATAGATATATATATATATATATATATATATATATCAGTGGTGCCTTGTATAACGTACTTAATCCGTTCCAGGTGCACGTCCGTTAAGTGAATAGTCCGTTATACGAAATGCATTTTCCCATAGAAATACATGTTGAAACATATAATTCGTTCCGCAGCATAAAATAACTGTACTACCATAAAAAAATAAAAATGGAGCAGTCACCAATTATGCCGGGTAGTCAGATGTTGTGAGGAGGAGGTGGAGGAACAGTTTCTTCACACATTCATACAGATACAGACTTTTTACACATTGCAGCAGATTCAGTAGAGGCTACCAGTGCTTGTGGGGTCAACTCCTCTTGTTCCATCCTTTGTTTTTTCCCTGCTGGCTTCTTGAAAAACATGTCCACAATGGTCTGTTTCTCTCTCTTCTTCAACACCTGTTGGAAATGACAGGCAAGAGTGTCATTGTAGAGATCATTGATCCTGTTGGCCTCAGCTCTGTTTGGATAATGAGTGTTGGTAAACGCCTGAACCTCTCCCCATTCGACAAGGAAGTTTTTGTCAACTTTCACTCCTCCTGATGATTTCTTGCATTGTTTCAATTGAAATCACCTTTCTGTTTTTTTTAGAAGCCATGATTTGCACAACACTTGAATAAATGTAAATACCCTGCACTGTGTTGATGTACCTAATAAACAAGGGAGCAAGCCTAATTCCAACGCTCTGTACTTCAGATATACTGATAAAATATTCTAATAATACTAATATATTATAAAAATAACATATTGTCATTGGCAACGGCAAAAGAGTGGAAACATCATTCGCACTTGTTTGTAGAAAGTCCATTGGTTGCCTCACGTAACGGCCAAACAGAAAGTCCGTTATTCGCAGCGTCCGTTATACGAGGCACCACTGTATATACACACACACTTTTGTTCTCTGTAACAGGCAGTCCAACCTTTATTCCCTCACTTCAATCAATAAAAACATGATTTGATTGTTATTTGCATTGTCTTATTGTCATGTGTTTCCAATCCTTCAGGTTTGGTTCTTTCCAATCCTTTTACATTATAAAAATGAATAATATATATTCTCAATTTCTAGCATAATTAAATAAATTTTATTTTACTTTTCTGAAATAATAACAGTTATAATAATATTTTTACGGAAAGAAGACTTTGAGAGAAATTTACGTATAATATTGCTATGTAATAAATCATAAATACCATACATCAGACCTGGGAAACAAAATGATCATGATGAACTGATTTGATTGGTCAGTAACAGATAATATGGTTCATTAACTCATAAATCCCTTGTAATTTTAATAGGAATATTAAATCCATATTTTTTACAGAGAAATCTTTAAACTGTTCACTATAGATTGGTAATATTATACTCTGAGATAACTTATGGTGGATACAAAGAAGTGTTCTTTGTATCATTGGTCATTTTAGAAATTCTTATGTTTTGCCCTAAACAATTTCAGTTAAGTGCAAAATGAGTGCACTGAAAAGAAGCAAAACTTGTGATTTGTATGACAGAGAAATATAATTTTTTCTTGTTGTTAAAAATAGATGGTGCCGTTTATGTCTTTACTAAAAAAAAGAACCTGGAACATTAATTACCATGCAATAAATAAATGTAACTATGCTTTGTAGCATAGTTCTATTAGGGTGGATTATTAAAATTTTAGAAAAGAATAAAAATGTGACAGATCATTGATTCTTTTGACTCTTGAAAGTTGATCACACCCCAATATAAGTTGAGCAAGCTTGCAATATATTATGTTGAGATTTTAAAAGAACATTATTAAAAATATACTCTACAAGAGTACAGTACACTTGTAAAGTTGATCATCATTCTGTCATATAATTGTTAAGATTATTAAAACAAATAAGCTGGGTTTAAATTATTTAATATTTAATATGACATTATTAAAAATAGTCACCTGGAGACAAAGATAGATTAATTGGNTACCATATAAAAATAATTATAATATGAAAAAAAGTTACAAAAATCAATTAAATAAACTATTACTAAATATTTAAATAATTGTACAAAATAGATTTATAATCAAACTCAAGTTTTACTTACTTTTTAAAGTTTGAAAGCTTGACAAAAACACAGTGGATTCTTTGCCAGATGACAAGCAGACACCTCTTGTTATGTTCAGGTAAGCTCCAAGAGATGCGGGTAAATATATATTTGGCATAAGATTATGATTGTATTTAATGTTTTCAACAAAAGTCATCTTGTCATCTAATTGGTAAATATTTACGTAATCCATGGGGTCAAGAGCAATTGAAAAAAAATGAAAAGATAATATTTCTGTAAAAAAAATTAAAACACTTATTTTTGAATTTGCTTTAGTTATTATTAAATTTATTTATTAGCTAGTAAATTTAAAAGTTATATCATCCACATTGCTAAAAATCTTTGAGCTGTTTATATTTTGTTGGATCTAAAAATCATTATCTTTATTGTGGCTGTATGCCATATTGTCTGTATGCCATATTGTCTGTCCTTGTGTTTCGTTGTTCTTATAATTTTCTCTATTCTTTGTTCTTTCCACTTTCTAATCCCCTTAATTCTTCCATCTTGGAGGTGAGATCCAATTCCTGGAATCACCAGCATAATGAATGAAAGGTTACCTGAGGACATACAAGGTGAAGAGAGGTCACGTTTTGAGCTGGTTCCTCGAAGAGAAAGAACGAAAAGGAAGACGTGAAATTGTCAGATACCTGAGAGATGGATGAAGCCATAATGAGTAACCCTGGACATTCTTGTACTGAAGTTAGAGTGCTGGAGTCAGTATTTCATTTGACAAGTTGTGAGTTTCAAATGAGTGACCAGTAGTTTGGATAAAATAAAAACCTTGGACAAAGGGAAAGAAGACAGAAATGTGAATTATGTGCAAGAAGTTTCCATGTGGCCCTTCACAACATGAGAAAGATAGCACAGAACAAAGATACCCTGGTCAATATCTACCATCTTTGCTATTTCTCACCTTCATCTCCAAATTTTCTTTCTTAGTGTAAGTTTAGCATTAAGGGTTAGTGATAAGAAATTATTTTTGCAATAATTATTATTAATTTTTGTATATCATTCATTAAATAAACCATCACCAGTTCATAACCAAACACAAAAATTCTTGCTACAAATGTTTTCATCTCTATGTAATAGACATCCTCAGGTATTGACAATATCAAACTAGTAGAATAGAATGTTTTTAAAAACATTCTATTCTACTAGTTTGATATCTAGTTTGACTATTCTACTAGCCATTAGTTTGATATCATCAATACCAGAGGATGTCTATGATTGCTAATATATGCTAATAATAATAATATTGCTAACGATTACTAATATGATTGCTACCGGTGCCAAAACACCTACATTTTACTCAGTAAGGAAATAACAGTTAGTGTGAAGAGAAGTCAAAATTTAGTAAAACTTGAGTTGCAATGTAATTAGAGAATTGTAACTTTATTTGAAGGATTATGTACCTACCTAATGAAAACGTTAAATAGAAATTAAAACATTACTTTAGAAAATTACTTAAAAATGCCAGGATGAATTACAGATTTAATTCACAAAAGTATCACAAAAATGTCTTCTTAATCTAATGTCCTTTTAAACACCTCAGGAACAAACAGTCCTTACGGCAGAGTTTTTTAAATTAATGTTTTAATTGCAAATTAATTTTTATGATTGTGCCATAACCAGGGGATGGTTTTAATGTTCTTACATATTGAGGTGAAAAAATTAGCCTATAAAGAAAGGTTTATTCCATCATAAGGACTGTTTGTTCCCAAGATGTTTAAAAAAACATTAGAGTAAGAAGACATTTTTTGTGATACTTTTGTAAATTAAATTTGTAATGTATTAAATAGAAATATTCAACAGAAATTATTACTAAACAGCAATTTACTATTTTTTTCTTTATAAATGTTAAAATATTTTTCGTGGTATCCATAATTTTATAATTTGAAATTTTTGTATATTTATACCAATGTAGCATTAAAATAATTATATTTTNAAAATTATTACAAATGCTTTATTGTAATAAGAAAAGTCTTGTTACAGGGGGTTGGCTTTAGAGAATTACAAAAATACAATTAATACTTATTTAACATTTTTTTTAAATATCTTGTTACATAAAATTTGATAAACATAACATATTAAACATTCAATCTACACTATCATATTTCAAAATCTTTAGAATATGAACAAAAAAGTTATGAATATTATACATCATACATAACAAAATTTTTTCTAGATTAGTTCTGAAATTTTCTTCTTAATTTAAATCATAAGATTCTTTTAATTTAAATTTACTATGCGCTTCTTCAAACTTTGTGCACTCAAGGAGAATATAATAAATATTTTATAAAAATGGTTGTAAAGATCAGGAAGAACTTGCCTACCCGCTGGCGGAAAAAGATTAATAAATTTAATGGTAATTATATCCATTCCAGGAGCTGTTTTCGTTATTAAATTGCGAATTGATAATCCAGTTCTTCAAAAGATTTGATATCGTTGATATTAGTAGACAATTATCTGATACTTCGGTATATCACAAACAATATGATACGAATCTTTCAAACCAAAGTAAGAACTAACATGAAAATAGACTAATAAATAGACTAATAAATAATAGTAGCATTAAAATAATTAAATTTTCTCACTAGCAAAGCATTATAACTTTTTCTGTCAGTTAAGAAAGGAAAAATGGTAAAAAGTGACAACAGGCAAACTTTGTAAGATCTTGCAAAAATTTATAAACAAAAAAATTATTTCCAATGGAACATTTATTCTGTGCGATGTCTGCAATGTGACAATATATGTTGATGAAAAGAAATCAAAAGTCTAGGATCCAGCAACATACATGAAGTGCAAAACATAAAAAGAACAAATCCTTGAAAGTAACTTCATCAAGACAGTAACAGTTTATTGAATGTTTTGCAAAATGCAGAAAATCCTTCAAAAAATCAATTTTTTTTTCAGGACAGTGCTAAAGCATTTATCACAGCAGGAATTCTGTTATCTAAATTCAATCAACTTATATTTAAAAGTTAACTTGAAAAATATATTGGAAAGAAATTGCTAGATGAAAGCATTATTAGGAAGAATTAATTGCCTTCTACCTAACAGGCAACTTTCCAAAAAGTAATAATAATAAACAACGCTTTTTGCCCGCGACTGTAAATTAGACAGAATTAGATAACCCAACAATTAGGGTATAACGTTTTGCAGGGCTTATCACACCCAGGCCGACTGGAAGAAGGACCAGAACTTTATAAAAAAGGTTTGGTCCTTAATAATCACATATCAAATTTAGGTAAGTATGCATTTCGGGTACAAGGACCCCTCATCAGCTTACAAACACATGGCAACAACGTAACAAATACAATACCAATAACCTGTCGGTACAACGGGGTAATCAACATATGCAGTGCACTGCATTTACAAATTATCAAAGTAACTTATACACTAAAACTAAATTATCAAGTATAAATCAGCATCCAATGACAATGTGGTATCACATATTATCTCCACCCGTAAATGTCTTAGTTTCTCCTACATTTTCCAAATTCTGGTAGACGGTTACACTATTAATAATAAATATTGTTAAGTATATTAAAACCTAAACAAAAGGAGGGGAGAGGAATCCAACAATGAACTTACTCTTATTAAACCAATTGGTCTCCAAATTTTAACACAAAACAAAATACAACTAATCTATAAGCCTTTGTGAAGTCAACTGCACTGTCCATCTGCATTTTACAAGGTGATGTGCCTAAACTCCCCACATCTGTTCAGCATCTGTTTCAAGGTTAAGTGAAAACAATGTCAATCCACCCCTCATGTAGCTTCAGTCCCATGTTGTTATTAATTCTGATGTCTTCCTGTATCTTCAGAATTTCTAGGTGTTCCTGTAGTCTTCTTTTAAGTTGATTGTTTTCTGTCATAATACACTTGATGCTATCTTTTAAAATTTCACAACCTTCAGTGTTGCAATGTTGTGCCACTGATGATGATATTAAATTATTTTTGATGGCATATATATGTTCTTTAATTCTTGTCTTTAATTTTCTACCAGTTTCCCCTACATATCTTTTTTTATGTGAACAACTGCAATCTAATGAGTAAACTACATTATCTTTTTCTAAAACATTATGTTCAATGTTACCATGTTTACTGTTTAGCAAATTTGCTATGGTGCTTTTGTGGTTTGGTACTAAAATAATATCTAATCTTTTTAATTCATTTTTTAATTTTTCAAAAACACCAAAAACATATTCTATTTTTAGGTACACGGTCTTAACATCTATTGGTTGTCTATTTAACGATATATTTTTCCTTTTGCCTTTACTTGCTTCCAACCACTTAATCAATAATGTTCTAGGGTAATTATTTAGATTAAACATTCTTATTATATTTTGTATTTCCATTTCTTGATCAGTGTGCAAGGTCGTTCTTTCTTTAATTTTGTTGATATACATTTGAAAAGTGTTCTTTTTTATATATAAAGGTATATTAGATTTGAAGTCAATAACTTTATCGGTAGCACAGTCTTTAACATATTTTTTAAATAATAATTTGCCATTTAATCTAACAACAGTAAGATCTAAGTAATTCAGTCTATTATCTACTTCTTTTTCACATTGAAATTGGACATTTTTATTTATTAAATTAAT